TTTTTTTTTTTTTTTTTTTAAATGGAGATGGGATTTCACTGTGTTGGCCAGGCTGGTCACGAACTCCTGGCCTCAAGTGATCCACCTGCCTCGGCCTCCCAAAGTGTTGGGATTACAGGCACGAGCCACCACATCGGGCCTATAACTATTTTTCAATTAAAATCATTTTAGAACATAGGGATCAGGCTTCGCCATGTTGCCCAGGCTGGTCTCAAACTCCTGGGCTCAAGCGATCCTCCTGCCTCTGCTTCCCAAAGTGGGGGGGATTACAGGAATGGGCCACTGAGCCTGGGCAACTACATAACTATTAAAAAAAAAAAAAAGCTTATTCATATGGCACCTTAGAAGAATCCCATGTGCCAAGCTGGGAAGGACTGGCACCCACACCTCCCAGCTCTTCCAGACACACAGAGGCAGCAGCTGCCCCTAGCCCCCAGGAGCATTTGGCACATCCCCCTCCACTACCCTGTCTGTCATCATCTGTCCAGATGTCCTTGTCCCCTTGCAGACAGGATGCTGGAGGCAAGAACTAAGCTCTCCCAGGGCCGTCAATCAAGGTTGCAGGCAGCTGTTCACCCTCTCACCTCCGGGTGGCACCAGTGAGAAGAGCAAGGTCCCTCAGTCACAAGCAGGAACCTACCCTGTCCTGCTCACCCTGAGTTTGCACCCCAGCTCCACCCCCATCTCAAATACACTGTTCTGTCATCAGCTCGTGCTCCCTGGCTCTTCCCATTGCTCGGATGCCCGTTTATCCAGCCCAGGCCAGCACTGCTAGAGGCAGGGGGGCCCGGAGAGGTTGAGATTGTTTCTGCTTCAGGGAATTTCTAATTGGGAGCAAATAGAACACAGGTGCTGGGGTTGCGTAGGGGGTTGGGGGAGAAAGAGAGATCCCACAATCAGCCCCAGAACTCGTGGTCACACTGCACAGACCCGGAACACACCAGCCGGCCACGCGGATGACCCGCCCCAGAGCACCTGGACTCCCTCAGTGCCTGGATCCTTCTAATTACAGCCCGACCCCTTCTCTTGCAGCTATACTCCTGACATCTCCTGTCCACCCTCATATCTCCCCACACTGAGCACCTCCCCAAAACAAGCTATGCTTCTCGGCCTAAGGAAAAATGGGAGCTGCCCCCGTCCCCTGCCCCGTGAGTGCCCCCTTGCAACCCTCCCTCCACCCTATTCATAGCTGTGCGTGCGGGTGGGCAGCTCACAGGCTGTGCCTGGAACAGGTGTGGGGGATCGGGTGACTGACAGATGAGCAGAGACAGCCGCAGCCCGGGTGTGGGGGCCTGGAGGGGCTCAGATTCATTGTCATGTGCTGGTATGTGCCTGGGAGAAATGTCAGGGCCTGAAAGGGAACAGCAGGCTGAGATGGGAGGAAGGCCTGGGGTACTCTGCTGCCTCCACGGTGCAGCCCGGCTCTGCCCGGCGTTTCCAATGTGCAGAGCGGCGTTAATGGTCACCAGTGACCAAAGGCCCCCTCTCCCCGGCCTCAGGGACAGGTGGCCTCTGCTGGACTTGCAGGGCTTTGGGGGAGGAAGGGGCTTCATTGCACCAGTCCCTCGCTCCAGGCCCTGTGGCACTCATCAGACAGTGCACAGCCCCAGCAGCCTCAGGCCTTCAGGCTGGCAGATGCCACTTGCAGCTGGAAATGTGTCCCAGCAGTCCGAGAGTCTATGAATTACCACCACAGCGCCCGCAGTAAGAGCAGTAACTCAGGGCACAGGCAAGGAGGCGGGACTGGGGACGGACAAGTCCTCCTCCCACTCCAAGGGGTTCTGATTGCCTCTCCAGCACGCACACTCAAGGCCTGGGAGCCAGGACTGAGCAAACAGCCAGGCAGGAAAAGAAAGGCTCCGGGAGAGGCGACACCATTTCCTTGCCTGAGGAGTTTTCCTTCCTAATTGTGTGTGGCCAAGTTCATACCAGCTGATGGTGGGGGAAGGCGGGGCCAGACCAGGGA